TGCTGAGGCATTACATCAAGCCCAACCAAGATGATTGGGATGAGAAGTTGCCACTCATCGCCAGTCTGTACAACAATGTTGTGCACAGCAGCACCAACGTGAGTCCTAACCAGCTACACTTGGGATGGAAGCCTAGACCCGCGTTAAACTTCCTCCTACCTGAAAACGGACCTGCTGCAACCCCAGGCACACTGGAGTATGGTGTGCAATATGAGAAGTTGCTGCAAGAAGTTGTCGAGCACATGAAGAAAGCTCGGCAAGCAATGATTGCTTCTGAGAATCAACATCGTAGACAGTCCACATTTCAGGTAGGGGAACATGTCTGGGTCAAGGCTAGTGAGCTAGGACAGGAATTCGAAATTTCTCGCAAACTAATGCCTCAATACTTTGGTCCCTGGGAAGTCCTAGATATAGTGGGAGATGAGATGGATGGTCCCACTTATGTCATTCGTGTCCCTGGACACCTACGCACTCACCCAATCTTTCATGCCTCAAAGCTTGCACCTTTCGCTGACTCTGATCAATTCCCTTCCAGGAGATCGATGCTGCCCCCAACCATAGATGGGCGAGTCGACATCGATGACATTGTGTATCACCGGGACATGCCTGTTGCAAAGCCGTTGGGTCGAGGAAGACCTCCTAAACCCAAGAGAGAATATCGTGTCAGATTCAGGCATCACACGGATCCCAACGAAGATCGGTGGTTTACCAGGGAGGAACTGATTGAGACAGCTCCTCAGGTGGTGGCAAGTTGAAAGGGAAGGCACCTGCAAAGTAAGCATCTCAGCGGACTTTCGAAGCTAAGGGGGATGGAATGTGAGGAATGAGCCCTCAAGAAGGGGCCTTGCCATGATGTACATGTTCTGGGCTAAGGCCCCAGCAAGCCTCGTGCCCGCCCTAAGTGAAGGCGGGCCAACAAATCAACAAGAGCCCTCTGTGCCAACATTTCACGAAGTGGGGTCCATACAGTTGCAGCACGCCAGTTGGTTGGAGTGCACCGAGTCTCGGATTTCAGCAAATGCTGAAAGCCCAGGGCCTCTGAGTTAGTTAGGCCCTGGGCACTCGAACGTGAGGCCGACAAGGCATCCTGGGTATAGAGGCCGAAAATGCCAAAGGTAAATCAGCCCACTATCTGAATCTGGCCGCACGCCTTGATGAAAGAGGCGCAACTGCATTGCCCCGGGGCCCAACTGTATTGGGTTGGCTTCAGCCTCTGGGTCCCCGTCACAGGCTGAAGGGAGGCCGCCCACACGCTGCACTGGCATATAGGCAAGCACGGCGAGTGGGCAGGGATCTTGGCCATTGCGGGCAATGCCGGCACGCTGCGCTAATGCGAGCTGCTGGCTGCTGCGCTGCGCTAAGAGGTGGTGCAAGGCAGGCATGCGCTAGGCGGTAGGGCGCTGCCTGTGCACTGGGCGCTTGGCGGCCATAGCCGGGCTGCAGAGGGCGCAGAGGGGTGAAGGGCGAAGGTGGTGCTTCGGAGGTGAAGGGCGCTGTGTGGGTAACAGGGAAGAGTGTGGATGAAGAGGACACGTACCTGGTGGAGGTGGAGGTCGACATTGGTGTTGACATCATCACTCGTTGGTAGTCAAGTTGTCTGGTTGCTTTCATTGCTGTAGTTGTAGGATAGGTTGTAGAGTAGATAGGGCGCCTGGCGCCAAGATGTGTATAAGAGACAGAGATAGGGCGCCTGGCGCCATTCACAAGAGAGAGCTACATTTGGGTTATGCTGTTGGTGTTGCCCTGTTGGGCATGGACATTGACTCACGATTCTTCTGTATCATTCTCAATTGGATGGTTACTCGGTTCCATTGTGCTATCTGCTTTGGCTTTGACTACTTGGACTTCAGTGTGAATTTGCATTCTGGATTTACGTGCTTCGTCCATATTCATGTTCCTTGGACATATCACTAGAGCGATCAGTAAGACAAGGGACTCAATTGGCCCCTTCCTCTTTGTCATTATTATGGAGGCTCCAACAACCAATTTAAGAATTAAAAAATAAAAAACACAATGAACGTATTCAGGTCTCATCTATCCTAGAAGAGGCTATCCCTGTTTGCTCCTTGTTTGCTTATGACCTCTCCCTTATAATGGAGGCTTCTAATGAGAACTTGACTCTTGAGTGCTATTAAAAATATGACAGACAAATTTTGTTCCCTCTTCGACATGACGTCGATGACGATTAATTGGGTAACTAAAACCCAAGGATGCTGGATACATTGTCAAAGGGTCAGGCCACCAGAGCAACCTTTATATTAATTGGTTATCATTAGACACCCCTATCAGAGTCTTAGGTGTGTATCTCTATCAGCGGAAGACAAACCAATAGCAAATAATGATTCGGTATCAAAACGAGCCTAAGCTAGAATGAAGTTATGAAAAGACAAGTGTACCGCTCTTATAAGGTTATCAACAACGCCATTCTTGCCTCCTTATGGTATAGAAGGTCGACAATATGCGCATTGGACAAGGAGGTTCTTCGCTCCCTACAAGGCAGATAACAACTTTCTTATTGGAGGGGAAATCATGTGTAAGAATGTCATTAGTAGGGTAGCATGACAATCAGTGATCCAACCAAAATTAAAAGGTGGATTGCGTATCTTGAATCCAACCACGCACGCAATGACATTGTCATTACAATGGCTAAAGAGGTTACTTTTCAATCCACAAACTCTATGGTCTGCATTGACTTGGGAAGAAATTGCTCAATTGGCACCACCAGTCCCTGAAGGAACTGACCCGATGATATGGCTTGAAAGCCGTTATTGGTCTATTCCAAAGAGGCAAGTACAAGTCTTTCATCATTCCAATGATTCAAAGAGACAAGCAGCAAAGACAAATATAAATAAAGATCCCTTCTGGCCTAACCTTCTCACGACTCGGCCTAAACTACCTCTTCCAGACAAGGAGGAGCTGGCGCGTTGTTCGAAAGAAGAAGAAGAGGAAGAAGAGGAAGAGGGAGAGGAAGAGGAGGAGGAGGAGGAAGAAGAAGAAGAAGAAGAAGAAGAAGAAGACGAATAATAATAATAATAATAATAATAATAATAATAATAATAATAATAATAATAATAATACTCAGAAGAAGAAGAAGAGGAAGAAGAGGAAGAAAGAAGTAAGAAGAAGTAAGAAGAAGTAAGAAGAAGAAGAAGTAAGAAGAAGAAGAAGCGTGCCCCCTGTGAAAAGAAATCAGACTGATGCTCCCCAGAATAGAAGGAGATGGCTCAGTATTCGAAAGAAGAAAAAGAGGAAGAAGAAGAGGAAGACGACGAAGAAGACGAAGATGAAGAAGAAGAAGCTCTAAACTCTAAACCCAAGGATGATACACATAAATCGAGAATGGTCCATTAGAAAGGGAAAAAAAGAGGGAAAAAAATGGAACGATAAAGAGAAAATTAGCATGGCCGCTGCGCAAAGGATGACACACACAAATTACAAAATGCCAAAATGGTCCAAAGAATCACAGTTAAGATTTTTTTTGATAACGTGCGATCAAAACTTTCACGGAAAAAAACTCTCGGAATGAAAATGCTGGAAAGGAGAAATATGACAAGATCCCAACTGGGTGTAGCTCAGTTGGTAAGGCGTTCAAGCGGCGCAAAGGAGGTCGTGGGTTCAATTCCCATTGCCCCCACGATAGTGCCTGTGGCACGCTTGGCGTCTTACCTTCGAGACGGCCAGTTGCTAAAGAAAGTGCGTAGTAGCTCAGTGGACAGAGCTCCGGTCTTGCAATGGGGAGGTTGCGGGTACGACTTTGTCAACCCGCAATTTCCCCCGAGCACAATTGGTTGGTGTAGATTGCACCCCACGTACTTGCCCCGAGCCTGGCATAGCACCTTTACAGACTAATGACCTCAATAGCTCAGTGGGTAGAGCTCTGATATCGTAACCTGGAGGTCCCGGGTTCAATTCCAATACACACAACACACAACACACAACACATAACACATAACCCATAGCTGATAACCGACTAAGGGGGGTGCAGGGGGGGATGGGCTGGAGGTTTTCCCTGGCAGGAATCGGCCCTTTGGCGAGCTGGTGTGATGGTTACAGACCGATAACCCTGCCCCCTCGATATGACACTAGCAGGGGTGGAAAATGGCCCCACGCTAAAAAACACAATCTATAACTGATAGGCAACTGGGGTGCAAGGGGGGATGGGCCAGAGGTTTCCCTGGCAGGAATTGGCCCTGTGGCGAACTAGTGCGACGGTTACGGACCGATTTAACCTTGCCCCCTCAATATGAACTGGATAACTGACTATCCACGACGACAACACAAACCCCTAATACAAGGCAACAATAGGCTGTGCTAGGAACATGTCACACGGGTCGGGTCGGGGGCTGCCTTAGGTAAGACCTTGGTCAGGTAGGACCAGTAGACACTGCCTGGGGTACATCCGTGGAATGTTCGCTGTATGACCAACCCAGGGCTGGTGCTCATAAGGAGAGTGCATATGACGATCATGCTTGGTGACCGAAGTGCCCCGCACGACAAGGCTCGTCCAATAGTGCTTCAACTAGGGCTGGGAGGGATTTTCCTGGCATAGCACAGGGTTTTCCTGGCCTAGCGCTGGTGCCTGCAATACTGTCCGGTATGCCCGAGGTAAGGGTCAACAGTGCCCCCCGTAGATGGAGAAGCAGGGGTTACACTAAGGAAGAAGATCGTTAAGGTAGGAATCCTGTGAGCACCAAGAAAAAAAAAAAAAAAAAAAAAAAAAAAAAAAAAAAAAAGAGGAAGAAGAAGAAGAAGAAGAAGAAGAAGAAGAAGAAGGAGGAGGAGGAGGAGGAGAAAAAGAAGAAGAAGAAGAATTTAAAAGATAATATGATTAATATCTGAACAACTTTCGCCTGGGCGATTGCATTGGAGTCATCACATGGCCAAAGGGCCAGTGACGAGAAATATGATAAGATCTGGTGGATCGAGGCCCAAAGCGAGTGAACCCCAACCTCAAATTTTGTGGACCTCGATTATGATTATGAAAAACAATAATATTTATTAATTTTATTTATGATTTATTATTATTTTTAAGATTTAAAGGCATTTCCAGATGGTTGACCACAAATGATAACCAACAACAACAACAACAACAACAACAACAACAACGACAACAACAACAAAATTGAAAAAAGGTGAATGCAAAGGGAACTTAAGGAAATTGATCTCGGACGGCAGCAGACCACCAACTAAAATACAGACAACAGACTCGAAAACTGCTGAATCATCATCATCATCATCTGTTTTTCTCGATTTGAACTGTCAGATCGTTGACTCCAAGGTAAGCAAAAACAGTGTGTGTGTGCTGCAGTACCCTCTGCTCATCAGCATCGTCTTTGACCTGCAAGAAACAAACAGCCAAACAGACAGAAGAAAAAAACAGACAAACAAACAGAGACGAACAGACAAACAGACAAACAAACACAGAAGAACAGACAAACAGACAAGCAAACAGAGACGAAAAGACAAACAGACAAGCAAACAGAGACGAAAAGACAAACAGACAAACAAACAGAGACGAAAAGACAAACAGACAAACAAACAGACGGACAAACAAACAGACAAACAGACAAACAGAAACAGACAAACAGACAAACAGACAAACAGACAAACAGACAGGGGAAAAACAGACAAACAAACGGATGAGCAGACAAATAAGCAAACAGACAGACAGCTAAACAGACGAACAGACAAAACCAAAAGACGAACGGACAAACAAACAGACAAACAAACAGACAAACAAACAGACGAACAGACAGACAGAAAAACAGGCAAGCAAACAGACAAACCGACAAACAAACAGAGAAACAGAGAAACAAACAAACAAACAAACAAACAAACAAACAAACAAACAAACAAACAAACAGACAGACAGACAGAGAGAGAGACAAATAGACAAACACAACAAAAACAAACATGCAAAAAATGGAAATCAGGCTAGGAAGTCATGCTGGATGTCGGAGTTGCAAAAACAACGCGGAAAAAGGTTTAAATGAGCTATTTCCAGTTTGAAGTCAAACTTTGGAAGGACATTTTTTTTCAAAAGCATCAGGGTTGCATACCCGCCGACCGCCGACCCCGACCGCCGACCATTTTGCAGCCGATCAGTAGGGCCGACTGGTCCGCGGTCTGCCGACCAGTCAGAAAACAGCCATCCACTTATTTTTTTCAAATCTGAGTTGGGGGCAGTACTGCACTTGCTTACTACAGCCCAAATCCGCTGAGAATCTTTTGGGGATGAGGGGGGGAATAGGGGGGTTAGAGGGGGGTATGGGGGGGTATAGGGGTGCTATAGGGGGTATTTTGGGGGCTATGAGGGTGTTGGGGGGCGGTTTGGGGGAGTTGAGGGTGTGTGTGGGGTTGTTTGGAGCAGGTATGGGGATGTTAGTGGGGTTATGGACTCCACCCCCCCCCCCCAAAAAAAAAAAACTATTTATTTTAAATTATTTATGAAATAATAAATAATAAAATTTTATTTATTTATTTATTTTGTGGGGTGCCGACGACCCCCAATCGGTAGGCGCCGACCAGCCGAGCGGTTGGCTGGTTGGCAGCCGACCAATCAAGGGCGCCGACCGTTGGGGTATGCAACACTGGAAAGCATTCTTAATTTCTTATACCGTGTCCAGTTGAGAGAAGCACAAGTAATGGCCGGGACAAGAACTTCAGATCAATCGGTGCTTCTCATCTTCCTTTCTCCTTCATCCCAGTGCTTCATCTTCCCCTCCTTTTTTTTCACTTTCTTCCGTCTCCTCCTCCATCTCCTCGTCCTGTTCTCCCCCCTCTTCAATCTCCTACTTGTCTTCCTCTTCCTCGCAGTCCTCTAACTCCTTCCTCGTCATCTTCATTGTTATCCTCTTGTCTGCTTCCACAGCGTCATCTTCGTTCTTGTCTTCCCTGCTTCCATCTCCCACCATTATTCCCTTCTGCATTGGGATCCCAATTGCACAGTCACAAGGTCACAAGGAGACTACCACTAAGTCATTGCAAAACAACAAGGCGCGCCATAACCAAGCTGACAAACGACTGATTCATGCCAAACAGAGCAGGAGAGAAAGGAGGAGGAGGTGGGGTAATAGTAGCTGTAGCAGTAGCAGTAGCAGTGGCAGTAGCAGTAGCAGTAGCAGTAGCAGTAGCAGTAGCAGTAGCAGTAGCAGTAGCCGTAGCAGTAGCAGTAGCAGTAGCAGTAGCAGTAGCAGTAGCAGTAGCAGTTGGAGTAGCAGTAGTACTAGTAGTAGCACTACTACTACCTCTAGTAGTAGTAGTAGCAGTAGCAGTAGTAGTAGCAGTAGCAGTAACAGTAGCAGTAGCAGCAGCAGTAGCAGCAGTAGCAGTAATAGTAGCAGTAGCAGTAATAGTAGCAGTAGTAGCAGTAATAGTAGCAGTAACAGTAATAGTAGCAGCAGTAGCAGTAATAGTAGCAGTAGCAGTAATAGTAGCAGTAGTAGCAGTAACAGCAGCAGTAACAGTAGCAGAAGAAGTAGCAGTAGCAGCAGCCGTGTAGCAGTAGGAGCAGCCGAGTCGGAGTCGCAGTAGCAGTAGGAGTAGCAGTAGCAGTAGCAGTAGCAGTAGCAGTAGCAGTAGCAGCAGGAGTAGGAGTGAGAGTGAGAGTAAGAGTAGCAGTAGCAGTAGCAGTAGCAGTAGCAGTAGCAGTAGCAGTCGTAGGAGTAGCAGAAGCAGAAGCGGTAGCAGTAGCAGTAGCAGAAGCAGTAGCAGTAGCAGTAGCGGGAACCGGAGCAGTAGCAGTAGCTGTAGCAGCAGGAGTGGGAGTAGCAGCAGCAGCAGCAGTCGCAGCAGCAGCAACAGCCTCCGCCGCCAGCAGCAGTACGAGGAATAGTAGTAGCAGGAGTACAAGTAGAAGGAGGAGGAGGAGGAGGAGGAGGAGGAGGAAGAGGATTTGCCTTACATGAAGTCCAAGGGTGCCAACTGCATAGCCTGGAACGAGAGACCAGAAATGGTGCTCGAAACAGTCTACAACTCCGTCAAAAGAAGTCACCTGCACAAGAGAGACTCAAACACAGGGTTAAGAGCTGGTTAGTTATGATGCCTCTAGACAAGTTAAGAGCTCAGAAGAGCAACAGCAGAAGCAGCAAAGGAGACAATCAAACTCCAAGGCGATTTGCTGCTGGCAAGTGCATGTCTGATGCTGCAAAAAAAAAGGCCAGATACTGATTACACGCAAGCAGATCATACCCACCCAGAGTTAGTTCCTCACTTCTCTGCCTGCCCCAGAAATTCCTCCTTTCTGGGAGCTGAAGACTACCGTCTTCACCCAAATAGAACGCCCGGTCATCATAGCTGTATGTGGGTCAAATTTCAGTCTAGAATCTAGATACAGTGATTATGACCAGGTGTCATTCTATTCGGGTGAGAAGTCGGTTCACCAGTTGATTAGATGATTGGTTACTATTTTTCCCAAGTTGTGACGGGATCTCAGCCGTCTGATCCTTTCAGATCAACTGGTGGGCCGGTGGCTTCATCTCCAGAATACCGGTCGGCGGTCACTTTTAATTAAGTTTTTTAACCTCTTCTTTTTTGGGGGGGGAATATAGGTATTATAATCTCGTCAGAAAAGATACAGCACTGGAACAACTGGTGTTCTTAAGCCACCAGTACATCCGAGCCTCTTTTTCGCCCAGACGGGGGGGGGCCTGCCCTCGCGTGCCAGGCTTTGCCGACACGCCAATGCGGCGCTTTTTTTTTTGGTCTTTTCTGCGGTGCCGCCAGCCATTTTTGGGCCAGTATCTCCAAGCCTCTGAAACTTTCGGATTTCATTGATTTCTTTTTAAAGAAAAGAAGAAAAAGCACGTCGTTGGAGACTGGCTGTTTAGTAGGGTTTACTCTATAGAGTCTAGGATCAGGGACAGACCCCACTGAGCCATGTCTATGTCTAAGTCAGACGATTGGCATTGGCAATTGAGTTTTCAACGTTTCACCAAATCCAAATGCAAACAAAAAAAAAAAAAAAAAAAAAAAAAAAAAAAAAAAAAAAAAAAACCTGCAGGCATCAGATTGCCTGCCCTACAACGAACCTAGACGTAGTTGGGGCTGAGTTTTCACCATCCGACCGCAGCCATCAGATTGCCCTGCAAGGATTCAGCGCAGAAGATGGAATGATTCATCCATTTACTGTTAAAGAGCAACGAATGTATTTTGCCACCCTCTGTGGGCAGATCCACTCATCTCTTTTTCGTATTGAGTGTGCGTGCGGGGTCAGCCATAGTCCAGTGGGGGGTTAGTTTTCCCCATCGGGCCATCAGATTGCCGTTCAACGACCTAGACATAGTCCGGTGGGGCTCGGCCCTCAGCGTATTGTCCGTTTTTCGATTCACTGCACCATTGAGTCACCCCTCTTCCCACAGATCAGAGGGGTCCTGCACCTGTCAACAAGGAGGGCATCCGTCAGCGGTCCCGTAGAGGCCCGGAGGGGGCCTGCTCCGGCGCAATAAAGAAAGCAGCCGCGGACCGATCTCCACTGTTGCCAAGTGAAATGCACCAGCATTACT